GATTAAATACGGAAAGAATTGCAGTTTCATGAACTCAATTTAATGAGCTTTTTGTTTTTTGGATGAAATGCATGGCTAACTAGATATCTCGAAACAACCGTTTTTTTGTTATAACAAAATTTAATTATTTTTTGGAATTCCTTAAAGAAAACAACAAAACGAAAAACTGCACTTAGTACGTTTCTGCAATTAACTGTATGTTATTTACTGATTTCGTTTCTTCTTGTATTCTCACATGGGCTTGGAAAACGATATTCAAGAAGAAAATTATTTTTAAAGCAATAGGGATATTTACGAAAATATATTTAAAACAAACTTATTTTTTATTCTGTTGCATTTTTTTCTGGTCTCGCTTTAGATGACTATTTTAATATATTTTGATTAAAATTCAAGTATGATTCTTCAATATAATGAAGCATTTTCCTAAGATGTTCCAATTTGGAAATTAAAATTGGAACTTTATCACCATAAGCATTAGTTGTGGGCATTTTGATCAAAGTTCTAGATCTTTTTGGCATGTGTAGGTGAAATATGTGGTATGTTAACCCATTTATACAATCTGAAGCAACAACATATCCCGGAGTTTTATGTTCATGAAAAAAATAATGAAAGTGGAATATTGTAAATGGTTTTTTGTTATCTCAAACTACTCCGGGATTCATGCTTTCAAGAGAATTTGCAATTTTTTTGTAATACTTAGGCCACCATATTTTGAAATCGAGAATGTGTTTGGAAGAAATTTCGTTTGTCATAAATTTTTGGTTAGCACTTGAAGCAATAGTTTCGGTGTAAGTATGGAGAGAATATATTCTATCGTGCTTCTTAAGACATCTTTTGACCATGCCAAAATCGCGATCGTTCGGGAGAAAAGAGTGGCATCTTATGGGGAAAAACTGTTCTATTTTCTGAAATCTGTTGATCTCAACCAAAGCCATACACATACGTAGCAGTGTATGGTTCTTGTTTTACCCCGGGCAGTTGTCATTGTTCAAGCGTAATTCTTTGATACTGTCAGGTATTTCTTTTTGAATGTAGTTTCATAAAAATGAAGCAACTTTATTAGGGCCTTTGTTAACGATACCTTCATGATATATATAAAAATGCCCTTGTCCATTCTTACATTTATGAATTGAATACTGATAACTGAGTCAAATAGAACTATTCTTAAAAAAGTATTTCTGGCAAGTGAACGTTTTGCATGAAATCAAAAGTTAACACCGCCAAATCGTCAGGAGTTTTGCACTCAGTAGTAGAGTTCTTCAACGATGTGTACAATTTTTTTGCTCGTTTTTCTACGAAAAGATTATACATAATTTTAAAGTTCAATCTGCTGTCAAGATAATAGTAATCCTTATTTGAGTAATGTGTTTCTTTTACTGGAAACGATTCGATGTTTTGTCGAATCAAAATATTATCTGTCTCCGGTATAGTATTTACTTTGATATTAGTTCCCCTCTTATCACGAGGAGTAAAATTTAGTTGAAGCAGCGATTTTAAAGGTTGAAGTCTTTTAGTCCAATTTCATGCAAACTAGGAAAAGTGATTTGGCAGTGTGATGTGTAGTGGTAAAATGAACAACTTTTTTGTCTCTGCATTATTGCGTTTTTGGGTTTAGATCTCCTTTGAACTTCATGCATTTCTAAAAGGCTTTGTAAGTAAATATCTTGTTCATGTTTAGTATTAAATCCTACGTATAGCTTGTTGAAAATTTTCAGTTTTTGCTCATCGTTCAACTTTTGGAAACATTTCATTGGACATCTTAAAATATTAATTTAGTTAAAAAAATACAACTCGTCAGTTCGTGTAACACTTACCGACAAGCTTCTCCACACTTTTTTCTTGTAGTTCATTTCTCTTGTAATTTAAATATCGTTTTCCTTTAACTCTAGCATGTTTTATAATATTTCGAGTATAACAGTCGGAATTCTTAACTCCTCTTTTCCTTTGTTTATAAACTCTGATTTCTGTTTCACTTAGTGAACATTCACTTTCTATTTCTTTCATTATTACCACTTAAAGCAGTTATTGTTACTTAATATAGCTAACAACGTTGTGACTGTAGGTTAAGTCGATAAGTGCTTGAACACAATTGCGATCTGCGATAGGAGTCATCGTACCCTAGCAACGAAATATTATTAGCTAATCTAATAATAATATCACTAGGCAGATTGCAATCGCAATCATTGTTAGCCGTCAAACTGGCAGTTTGTTGCAGAAATGCTCTTCCCACAATAAATGTTAGAGACTTATGAATCATACTTCCTTTGTACACCCAACTATAGGTCTACAAAAAGATAGTACGAAAATTCGCTTATCTCAAAATTGTCAAAAATGTTCAAAAATGTGTGTGTCTGAACTAAACGATTCATTTATCATTGGAGATAAAATCCTCACACAGAATACTAACAATACCATATTTATGATTATCTCAAAGTTTCAACAAAAAGTACGGCGGATTAAAGGAGAGCTAGTACAGATGGTCGGCAGGTACAAGTACCTAGGAACAATAATTGTGAATGAGAACAATGAATATACGGAGGAAATAAGACCAAGAATTGGGCAGGTTAGAACTGTATTCAACACTAAGGAATATATTATGCACTAACGATCTTAGCTGACATCTCAAAATTAGAATGCTAAAATGCTTCGTGTTTCGAATTGTTTAGAGCTGCAACATTATTAAAATTGCCATGATGATAACCAACCTTTTTAAAGGAGACAGCACTTGATGTGGTGCGTCTGCAGACACCTTATTGTATGTCAATTGTGCAACAGTAGTCGCGTTCGCATTTTATTAATACTCGAATTCAGTTAATAAATAATATTTAAAGTTAATAATAATAAATGTGTCATTATCAAGTTAAGAAGAGTACTCCACATGATATGTTCTCTGGCTGAGAAGAGAAGGGTTTCCCAAAAAATGTTGGCAAATAGATGTCTTTTGCAAAACGAAAACAAGTTTTGATATGTTTTTGCATTATGTGTTTGAGAATGACCTGAGAAAACAATCATGCGGACGAGGTACCAACCCAACAAGCCAAGAAGAAAAGGTAGGATTAACACTAAGAATCATATACTTTTATTTCAATTTGTACAAATTGAAATTGAATTTTTATCATCTGAAATTAAAATAAATGAATTCGGATTGGGTGGAATAGGTATTATAAAAGCGAGGTGTATTGGTATTGATTTTGAGAAACCAGCCGGATTTGTTAGAGCGACTGGTAAACACAGTAGATGATAGTCGTTGCAATTTCATTAATTCCAACACACAAGTTGTACACAATAGAGAGCTGCTTAACCGATATCGCCATACTTCAAAGCGTTGACGGAATGTTCTTCGAATTTTGCACGTGCTTCGACAATATTGAACAGCCTCTCGTATTCTTGCAGTACTGGTACATTCAATAATGTCAAAAATCTTGCTTGCAGTTTGTTAGGTCATTTTTTATTCTAGACCAATCCGCAAAATAACATCATTTTTTTGTATTTTTCTCTATTTGGCTCCATTCTGCAGCGGATTTGAAATTTTTCTCTTCAGCTGGGTTGTGTTTACCGTTATAATTAGTAAAATATTCAGAATATATAGTGAGAACTCAAATTCCAGCTTTGTGGTGAACTGGAGAAACTTTTACTACGTTTGCAGCATCTATGAAGTTTTTGGGCGAATTGATTGCAGATTTTAGCAAATAAAAACCAGGTGTTCATTAAGTGCAGAGTCATTAAAATATCAAAATGTACTCATACATATAAAAATTAATTTTAATTTTTATGGAGAGGAACAAAAATTGGTCGATTTAATTTAACGATTAACTAGGACCGTGGTGTGAATGTGGGCAGGTCGGTAATTTTTGTCGTGATTGGCTTCACAAATAGCGTCGCGATTCGGGAAACTAAAACGAGCGTTACGAATGCCCGCGTCCATATCGTGTGTAAAAATTGGGCTAACTGATGCAGTGTGGTACTGGTTTGTGGACAAGTAAATAAACGTATCGCTTTAATCCTCATGTACACTCGTACATCGTGATGTTTTATAAAAAAAGAAATGGGGTAATTGGTGAAATTTCAATAGCTACGGTTGAAAGGAAAATTATCACAGGTGAATCGTAATTATTTATGTGTGTTGGGCGTGTGATAGATGATATGGTTTTTAGATGTAACTTTATTTACAAAAGTGTTCTTTTCATCTTGGTAATACTCTGTTGCGCATTGTAGAACCGCTGTTTGTTGAAACCTAATCACTATGTAGAGAACTATTGCCGTTTAGTCGAACGGAGAATAATTACAGATGTTATAGTAACATCAAATGTTATTATAACGGTCGATGAATTTGAATGGAGTGATGCGTTGAGCCATATATCTAGATGCGAACTGTAGTGTACTAAAGACTGCATTAATTGATTTTGGAACACAATTTCGTGAAATGATGGCGGCATTGGATATACGAACGTTTTGCAGCAGTATATCGATACTGAAATAGCGGAGTGATTTCATGCCAACGCCAACTAGCGATTGAGTATAGCAAGGAAACACACAAACTATTCTAATAAATGCTAGCTAAAGGAGTCGTCAGTCCTTCTTCTTCGCCTTAATGTGTTTTTGCGTTGCTTCACCCAAATTAAATGAAGTGACTCTGAAGAATAGGTATCTTGTACCCAGAACAGACACAATGGATTCGCTGACTAATGTTTCATCTTAAGATACCTTCCAAACCCCTTCGTGGTAATGTGCATTGGTTACAAATATTATTGGAACAAACGCTAGAAAACGTGCTTAAATTTACAAATTGCTGGACTAAAAATAGATCCGAAAAGGGACTTGTGCAAAATTTTTACACAAATAAGTGAAGTTTCTGGGACATGTAATTAGTCGTAATCGAGGAATTTACAACCCATCCACAAAAATACTTTTAGAAATATTACACTTTTGGAATTGGCTTCATATTATCGACGTGTTAACTTCTTCACTCATTTTGGTTTCTCCTAGAAGGAATTTATCTGTACAAGAACGTAAATAGTCTGTAGCACGTTGAAATTAAAGAATAGAAGCAGCTTCGTCCAACGTGTGTTTGATGTGCTGAATGAATTTAGCGATGATTTTGTTATTTATGAAATATACACTACGAATATGATGGATATGAGTGACTCGAGTGGTTGTGCTAGTTGATTATAATGTAGTGTCAAATGATGCTACAGCATTCAAAAAAGGTCTTTTATAATATCTTATACCTTCGTGAAGTTGAAATCGGAGAACAAACGCTGTTCACTGAGACTGCTTGACAAAAAAATTGCTGAAACAAACATTGCAAAGAGGAAAGTATGAGACACCATTGATGAGCAAATCGTGTATGTGAAATCATCTCCATCGAAGAGAAAATGGAAGAATATTTTTGATATGGTAAAAGAAAGAAAATACCACAAATTGTCCTTTCAAATAGATCAGACTGTGATGTTAGAGGCTGGGTTCAAATCGTGGTAGACAATAGATTCATCACTGGAACCCGTGTTCACTGTAAACTCGAATTCCAAGTCTTTTACAATTTTATCCAGCAAATGCAGAATTTCTCAATAGTTCCCGGTTGATTTATAATGAATTCGGTTGAACCTTTCCCTTCTGGTGCGTTCAGCATTTATGCGGGTTTCATTAGCATAAAATATTTTTCGGCGTTGGTTGCGATATTCTTTAATTTTGCGTAGATAGTTTCAACGCCACAATACTATGCCTGGGTTTTCTACAAATTTATAGTTTAGTCTACATTTTTCATAAATAAAACTGTTTTTTAATGGTATGTAGAGCTGTCTGAAAAAAGGATGAATTAAAAATGTACTTAATAGACAATATAATAGCGAGAACTAATGCATAAATGATATTATATACTTACAGCGTACACTTTGTCTAATGTTGATAATTCGTATCTAAGAAAAAATGAATTTACGATTTATCGTATTTTCTTTCTTTCATCCTCGTCCATCATTTCAAAACTATTCTTCCGCTTTCTCTTCGATGGGGGAGATTTCACTAAGCCGATTTGCTAGATTTCCTTTTTAGTTTTCAATATTTCCCTCTTTTCAAATCCAACGGTTTCAGAAACATTATTTGACAATAATATTTTTTCGAAAATCCTTCGTTCTCAGATTATAACTTAACAAAGGTATAATAAAGCATTCTTTTTTGACTGCAGATAATTGGTTTCCCGTGGGACTGTAATGGGACTGAGAAGGGTAATAGTTTATGATAACGTATAAAAAGGGTTGATTGCGAGTTACACAATATTTCCTTCTAAACTTGGATGAAGTATGGTTACACTTACCTTTTCAGTCATTATAATCGATACAATTTTATTTTGTTTTTGTCATGTTCATTTTTTTGAGGAGTTTCGGTAATTCCGTTTCATTTTTAGTTTTGATGTTTGTTCAGTTTACTGAAAATTTCTATATTTATGTGTATGAAGGCAGTGTTTATCGTTATCTTACTTGAGAATGTGTTTTTTGAGACTGTGTAACAATTATTCTTTATATGCGAGTATCATTAAAAGATAACTTTAACGACCTGATTTGTAGCGATAAAAGTTGGTCATTTATGAAGTCGTCAATGTGAAGCGAACGGAGTTAAAGTGTAAGATACGATACGATCTTGAAAAAATTATTTTTGAAAGAAATATTTAATGATGGCGTAGTAAGTGTACGATGATAAATATTTTTATATATTTCTTATAAGCAAGTTATTAGTTAAAGTTAATATTATTGAAAAAAAGAAGGCCACAATCGCTACTATAGGGACAAATTAGTGATAAATATAAAGTACGCATAAAGATGTGCGGTAGTATGTGGGTATTCCCCAAGTAGCTTCGGACCTTCCTCAACGTCCGATTTCCTTACCACGTTTATATTCCACATATTCTTATTCCTTTACAATGAGAGTGTTTTTAATAAAAAAACAAATAATTTAAAATCTCTTAACAATTACAAAAACGTTTTTTACAATCTTTAAGAGAAATAGTAGTTTAATGATTTGATTGTTTTTAAAAAAATATTCATAGTACTACTTTAACAGGAAAATATGAAAATTCCATTGTATTGTACACTGCCATGGTTTGTTACATATATACGTCGTATATCCATTTAACTTTAAAACAAGCTATGGAAGATAACATGGTTACATTTGACAGTTACATTCATCACTATCTCGTGTGGTATCGTTGAATCGACTTTTCTCTATCGTTCTAAATTGACAAAACATTGTCCGAATAAAACTATTAATAATATTGCGATAACAAAAATGTATGCTGACAAAAAATTGAAACTTGTATATTTAGTAGAGTCAATAAATATAGACGACGAGTATGTGCAAAATTTTTTAATGAAGGGATTTCGTAATTTGTCCAACGAGCAATAAGTGTTTGTAATGACAACGAAATCTTACAAGTCACGTAGACTCGCACTATTACTTAACTATTGTAAATCGGGAGGGCAAGTTTTATCTACACCTGAATTATGTTGAAATTTTGCTGATTTCTAGAGCCAGATATTGTGTTAGTGTGAGATGTCAACATTGCGGTGTCATTAGCATATGCTGCAACAATGGCATTTAGCGTTAACATATATAATGGATTCATTACAGGACCGAGAACCTTACCTTGAGCCACTTCTGATAGCACGGGGTATAAATTGGAATATTCACTACCTTGTTTCACAAGAAAGTACCTTTCTGTCAGATATGATTTTAGCAGTTGATGGTGTGGATGGTGATCAATTATTTAGTCCTTACCAAAAGCTTCCAATATGTCGAGGAAAGCTGCAGAACAATGCCTTTTAGTATTTAAATCCGTCTTAATTTGATTGATTAGTCCGTGAACTTACTCTATTGTTTTGTATTTGTCGCAAAAAACAAATTGATTACTTCCCTATATTTTATTAATGAGTGACACCTATCTCTTGACAGAGCTTTTCGAAAATTTTGGACAGCGTAGGGGGCATGTTTATGTGTTTATAGAAGATGATTTCTACATCCTTTCTTAGCAATTTATAAAACATAATGCTTTGAGCAACTTTCCAGGTACTAGGGAAATGGTTTGTTCTCAGTATTGCACTAAGGCCCACTTTTTCTACCTCTTGATAAATTTATCCAACAGATAAATTGCCCAACTAACGAAAGCGCTTAAAACCATGGCAACTATCCCCTAGATAGTTTATTAAGAGGATGGTAAAAGTGCGCCTAAATATGGTAGTTATTAATTTGTAAAATTTTTGATCCGTTATTATATTTAGTTGCTTTATTATGACCTGTTTTATTTCAATAGTTGTTAACTTGCAGTGAGGTGGTATGTTTTGGGAATACCTAGCCCTTTTTTGTCATTTCTGGCTTAGATGTTTCTCTCACCTTTAATGGAGGAAAACTGTCGTTGCGGTATTTTAGTCTTCTGGTCTCTTTCCAAAGCGCGTCATCCGTAGCGTCTGTTTGTGTAAAATTTTTTAGGTGTTTTGAATACCCAGAATAACGGTTCTGTTCTTGCTGTTTTGCGTTTTTCAATTCTTTAGTCGCTTCAATTAATTTTCTTTTGTTTTCGGCCGTTCTGGCTTGTTGCCATCTTTCCCGCAATTGTCTTTTTTTGGCAATTTTTTTCTTTGATTGATACAGGTCAGAAATTATCTCTGTCACAAATAATTTTTGATATTGCTTCAACCAAGCGAAACCTTTCTTCTTTCAAGACGCTGCTCCATTATGGAGATCTGGAACTAATTACCATAAATGTTCTTTCCATGATTATAAACGTGTTGTATTACTGCACCGATTTCCTTGCTGTATGAACCACATCTTTTCTGCGTCTTTTATATGATACTNGGAAAGCTGCAGAACAATGCCTTTTAGTATTTAAATCCGTATTAATTTGATTGATTACTCAGTGAACTTACTCTATTGTTTTGTATTTGTCGTAAAAGCCAAATTATACATATGCATAATTAAACATAATGCTTTGAGCTACTTTCCAGGTACTAGGGAAGTGGTTTGTTCTTAGTATTGCAGTAAGGCCCACTTTTCTACCTCTTGATAAATTTATCCAACAGATAAATTGTCCAACTAACGAAAGCGCTTAAAACCACTATAACCATGGCAACTATCCCCTAGATAGTTTATTAAGAGGATGGTAAAAGTGGGCCTAAATATGATAGTTATTAATTTGTAAAATTTTTGAGCCTTTATTATATTTAGTTGTTTCATGATGACCTGTTTTATTTCAATAGTTGTCAACTTGCAGTGAGGTGGTTCCATTGAAAATGGCACGTCTAAGTCAGATGTAAGCGGCTTGAATACGTTCTCTAGATATTTTGGGAATAGCTAGCCCTTTTTTGTCATTTCTGGCTCAGATGTTTCTCTCACCTTTAATGGGGGAAAACTGTCGTTGCGAAATTTTTAGTCTTCTGGTGGCTTTCCAAAGCGTGTCATCCGTAGCGTCTGTTAGTGTAACATTTTTTAGGTATTTTGAATGCCCAGAACAATGGTTCTGTTTTTGCTGTTTTTCGTTTTTCAGTTGTTTAGTAGGTTCAATTAATTTTCTTTTGTTTTCGGCAGTTCTGGCTTTTTGCCATATTTCCCGCAATTGTGATTTTTCGGCAATTTTTTTTCTTTGATTGATACAGAAATTATATCTGTCACAAATAATTTTTGATATTGCTTCAAGTAAGTGAAACCTTTCTTCTTTCAAGAAGGTAAATCTTTACCGTTTTTGGATCTGATGTGTTCAAGCTGGTCCACTATGGACATCTGGAACTAATCACCATAAATGTTCTTTCCATGATTATAAACGTGTTGTATTACTGCACCGATTTCCTTGCTGTATGAACCACATCTTTTCTGCATCTTTTATATGATACTTTATGTGTTATTGTGCATTAGAGCGACGAGAACTAACATAGCCGAACCATACTTATTATCGAATCCGGAACTGCTGTGCAAACTGGTATGATTAGGTACGGTTATTTGTAATTTTGCATACCTATTGACGTTTCCTCCTTTAGATCTTTTGTTTTACCCTTGCTATATTTCCTATTATTCTGGCCCTCAAATATTTCAATTTTTTTAAGACGATTTGCCAATGAAACACTCCAACATCACGACAAACTTATTTTGAAAATTGAGGCGGCAACTCGGGAACTATACTACACTGAGTACTGAAAGCAAACGAATTTGAGTGCAACAGTTGTAGCATTTCAAAATTTATACAGAAATTTATACTTTGTTATCCTGTTTAACTTTAATTCATTTCATGTAGAAAAACAGGTACCTATATTTAAATTTTAAACAAATAAATATAAATAACTTATACAGTAATACTGTACGTGTCAAGGCTGCAGAGCTGCATACAGGACCGTTAAGGAATTCATAGAATATGTTGGATACAATATATTCTATGAATATTTGGATGGAATATGTATGATATTTTGGCGAGCACCAATTAAACAGGATGTGAAATAGTAATTTTGCTAATTTCTCATTCAAATATTACATACATTTTCACGAATATCTATTCTCGTACAATAATATTACTTATCACAGATTATTAATTTATAATATGAATAACATGGTTAATTATAGTATACTAATCTATATATTTTTTAATGATGTAAATTTCAATGTTAAAAAAACTCTCAATAAGGGATGGAGATGAAAGGTAAATCTATCGTAGATAGACTACATGAACTACTAAACTAAACGTACCACCCAAACTAATTTAATTATATAATATTAATTAATCACAGGTTTTTGGGTCAAAGTCAATGTGGTTTAGTGTGCGGTGGAGTAAAATGAACCGCTCATATATTATACATTATTATATTACCGTATGTAATACTATTACATTACATAATATATAAAAGTAGAATGAAAATCTCGTATTAGTTAATCTTTATAAAGTTTTATATTGCTAAAGAATATTTGCTCAATTTGGTCTGATAACTTAAACTTAAACTTCGTTGAAGGCATTTGAAAAATAAACGTGAAACCACGGTCGCGCGTGTCTTTCGCTTTAGAGATGACGCAGCAATCCGAACTTCATGCAGCCACTCACCGATAAAGTAGAGTCAACAAGAATTTATCATTTTCGTCGATCCGGGCTGGCGGTTTCTCGTTTGATCTGCGGCTGCCTTTTTGTGTTTTTACTTTTCCGCCAGCACACTTTTTCTCTTTCCGAAACTTCTACGCGGCGAGTTCGCACTTCTTTTCAGCTTCACGAAGATGCGATGCGGTTGGAGGGTAATCAATCATTACTGAACCGAGGAAGTTGTTATCGGAACGTTGTTAGCCGATGTATGGCTCCATACATAATTGCCAATGAGCCGTGCCGCCATAAATTTTGTTGTGTTTAGATGAGTTGCTCTGCTGGTAAAGCTATACAAGGTCGATGAGTGACCTGTTAGATGTTTTTGGGCTTGTGTTACAAACTTTTTCAGAAATTAATCAGTCATTTCATTT